AGATGTCGTCGAAGTAACTCGGCGCGAAGTCTCGAAGCGGGCGAAGCACATGGGAGACCATGCGGCTGAAGGTGGCAGGCGCGTTCTTGAGGCCCTGTGGCATCACGAGCCACTCCCAGAGCATCCCGCTCGGTGTACTTACGGCGGTGAGAGGTACATCAGATGTTCTCATCAGGATCTGATAGAATCCATCGGTCAGGTCGATGGCGCTGTAGATGACGCTGCCAGCCATGGAGTCCAGTACCATGTCCTTCCGAGGGATCGGAGTCTGCGCGGGGATGGTGGCATCATTCAACTTGTTGAATGCGTGAACGATACGCCATCCCCCTGTGGCTTTCTTCACACAGAACGTTGGACTGGAATGGGGAGAGGTACTCTCACGCACGTGACCCGCCTTTCGGCGGCCCTCGAAGAAGTCATTGATCGCTTTCACTTGATCACGCGGAAGTGGCCATTGTCTGGTAACGCAGTACTCCGTACCTGGCGCGAGGTCGATCTCATGCTGAACTCCACGATCCGCCGGTAGCTCGGCGGGGATCTCATCCGGGAAGACGTCGGCGTACTCGCAGGCGGTGTCGTATACGGGATTCGCTGACTCCCGCAAGGCCTCCCAAGACTGCGTTTGGAATCGTTCCTCTCGAGCAGACTTAGGTTCAGCACCTAGCGGACGTGAGCGTACACTGTCCGTTGCGACCGCATTTGCTGCCTCATCCACCGAGACTGCCTCGGTGACCAAGCATACTTGCTCGACGTCTCCAGCCTTGAGGTCCCGAAGAAAGTTCTTCCGGGACAAGCCTGGAAGGCGTGTGATCGCCGCCGCTTCGCGCGGCGGGCTCGCGATTGCGATGCTGCGCGACCGATTCGGGCCTCCTTCCACGTACTCCAGCGCGCTGACCGATTCCATCGGCGGGCTATCGCTGGTCGTGTAGTCTCGACGAGGTTTAAGGCGTCGTCGCTTCGACTTCTTCTTCGACTTCCTCGAGCTTACGCTCGAGTCTGACGCACTGCTACTCGACGATGCATCACCCTCCTCTAGGCGCGGGAGACCGTACTCGACCGGGCCGGGAACACGCGGGAGCCCCTGCTCTACCGCGGCATCGTTTGACGGGAGCCCAATGTGCGCGACCGCCGAATCGTTCGGCGGGAACCTCTGCTCTACCGCCGTCTCGTTGTGTGGGAGCCCCTGCTCGACCACTGTCTCGTGTTGTGGGAGCCCCTGCTCGACCATCATCTCGTGTTGTGGGAGCCCCTGCTCGACCACCGTCTTGTACTGTGGGAGCCGCTGCTCAACCACCTCATCATCTACCTCGCGAAACCGCGAGGGCTCTTCGTCCAACAACGTAGCACAAGCCATGCAGAGAGGGCCATCGCTCGCTCTGTGCACTGCTTGTGTCGTTGCTGTTTTGTCTATGACTGTGACGTGGGGCCAGTCTCTTGGCGCCACCAAGAGGTGTGTGAAGACCTCGCTCACGTCGAATCCACGTCGACGCTTGACTGATTGGGCCAGCCAGTCAATCTCTGGCTGATATCGCGCAAGCCAAGGGATGCCCAGGATGCAGTCAAACGCGTAGTTCATCTCGATCACCAAGAAGTCGTCCTTGCTACGGAAGCCGTCGAACGTGTACGACAAAGACACGTCACGCCGCGCAACGCGGCGAGCCTTACCATCTGCGAGTTTGACTTGGATCTCGCCCGGACCATTCCGGACGCGGACGTTCTTGGGTAGTACCGACAAACACGATGCGCGAAAGAAGTTGTTGGTCGCTCCTGAGTCAAGGAGCGCGCGCAGTGGTCGCCGGGCACCGGTGACGTGGAGGCTGACAATGATCAGTCTCAAGTCGCCCGGCGTAGTGGTGGCATTGGTGTGTGCTTGGAGCACGGGAGGGCTCGAAGGTTGGGCTGCCACCGGAGGGCCCGGTCCTTCGTTAAAGCCAGTAGGGCGCCCCGCACCTACTGGTCCTGGTCGTTTTTTGAATGAGCGACCGAGGAGTGTTCCGCGTCGACGTGAGAGACGACGGGAGCTGGCGCGCGGCACTCCGCCGCGCGATGACCCTTCTTCCCACAGCGGAAGAAAATGAGGGGGCGATTGCTTCGCCCAGCGCTGCCGCGGTAGGACCCGCGACGTCGATTGCTCGACGCGTTGATGGCGTCGATCTCCATGGGCTCGGGGGTAGACTCTCGGGCTTCCGCAGGTATGGCTGCGGCGTACGATGCAGCGACCATGTAATCCTCGCGAATCGCGAGTGCAAACGCCTCCTCGAGAGAGGAGGGCTCAGCTCTGGTGAGGCAGTAGCGGGTCATACCCTCGCGCATGCCGAACACAAATACGTGGACTTGCGAGGCCATGTCGATTGGCTTGGTCACGATGCATGACGCCAGATGTCGCGTCTTCTGGACGTAATCACGCATGGACATCTGCCCTTGCCGCAGAGCGAAGAACTCTGCGCGAACGCGAGACTCATCTTGCGGGGGCTCGAACGCGAGGCGCAAGTCGCTCTGGAGAGTTTCCAGAGTCGGGAAAGCCTCGGGGTCGACAACCAGCTTCCCAAGGGCCCATTCTTTGGCCTTCCCGGTTAACCGGGAGAGGAGGAAGTTCATCTTGGCCGATGACGCCTCGATGCGTCGCGAGGCGATAGCGATGTCGATCTCGCGGAACCACCGATTTAGCGGAAGCCGGTTTTCACCGGCGCCAGAATACGTAGACGTCTCCATCTTGACGACGTCATTCTGGGATGGACGCGAGGGAGTTGACACCCGCCGATTCGCATCGGCGAGCTCGCGTTCCATGAACTTTCGTGCTGCAAGACGTTGCTGGTCGGGCGTCGCTGAGCTCAGCAGCGATGCGACGACAGCGTCTCCGGACACCGCCACGAGGCGGTGAAGCGCTTCCCACTCCACGCGAGTGAGATAAGGGAATGCAGCATTCTCCAGGGTCGCCCCGGAGATCTGGACTCGGCTCATCGTAGACTTGGTCGTTGGAAGGACTACGAAGTGCTACCAGGTGTAACGGGGTAAGAGATACCGTTACTAGCTTACACTGTAATGCGGAGGAAGCTCGCAATAATAAAACCAAGTCTTAGGTTTGTGTCAAATTCAACTCTGATTTATTTAGGACCAGGGCGGCTACCCCTGGCCTCGTGTGAACCACTCAAACACATGTCTATATCTGATTGGTCAATAAGTGAGTCTGGCTCCTCACTATCAACCAATCAGATGATGACACCTTGGCACACGCTACCCGTGTGCCACTTTACCTACTTATGTAATAACTAAAGAAATATCTACCTACTTATGTAATTGGAGTTGGGCCCATTACAGATGGTGTACGACGCACCATGTCTGACCAGGACTGCAAATGGTCCCATGAAGCGGTGCTTCAGCTTGTTGCTGCCAACAGAGCTGACAGTGTCAAGAGGTAGGTGCCTCGTGTCTAGTAACACTAAGTCTCCCTCTTAAATACACTTAAGTTTCCTCTTCCATGTTTGTCGGAGTACTCCTTTTGTTTATCTTGGGCCGCTGCCATGGCATCGCGGACCCTGCTGACAACGCTCAGCTTGGTATCCATAAAGCCTGCAGGAGCGCAGCATCGAAGCTCATCTTGATCCGTTGCGTGACTGCATTGTAGTATTCTTCAGAAGTACGTCATCTAGCAACCACTTTGGTTTCACATTCGCGACGCTGCTTGCGCCATTTTACAAGGGCTTCGTGTGAGATAGACGTGATCTTGTGGGGTACCACTGGAGTGAGCAGTGGTACTGAGTATTCGCAGGATGTCTCCTCGTTAGGAACTAAGGGGTTAATGCGGTGGGACGATGGTTTCTAGTGATTCGATACAACTACCGAACTGTGGTGGATTGCTGACATCAAGCAAAAAAAGGCTTCCGCCATCTGTATTGACCCTGGAGTGAACGAGGAGGGCCAGGTACATCTTGGTCAGTGACTTTTCCTCTCATTTATATATCAGGTCCTTTTAGCTAACATCCAGTTGTCCTTTTTAAATTTTCTAGAGGCCTTACATTTTTCATAACTGCATCTCTATGTGCTTAAAAAAAAGGGGCAGCCTCAAGTTGTTCCTGACTTTCACTCTACATTTCACCAGCAGCCAGAAAAGCAGTTGAATACACTAGGTTATCAGTTCCAGCAGGCTCGCCACCTGCCTTGCCGGTGTTTTCTTTGTTTCAACTCCGAAAACCAGTACAAAGAATTCTTTAGTACGACTAGTACTTAAAGTGCAACGAAGCGCTGTGTGGAATCTCGTCAAGTCGACTCTAATCCTCGTAATCCTCGAGCTACCGCTACTACTATATCTAGACGAGGTGTAACCCGCGCTGCGATAATAAATACTACTTTGGAAATATAGGGCCAGGTCGCACTTAAGTACGTCCGGAAATATAAGGCCACCTGATTTACTTAAAAAATGAATTAATTCGATTAGGAGGGTGTCTGGACTGGACGAAAAATCGTACTTACGTAAGAAATAATCGTACCTATGGAGAAAGTGGCTCGCCTGATTGACGACAAAAAGACGGTTACCATGTTTCTTGTCACTTATCAGCTAGCTCTAATTTGGTTTTTTTGTTTTAAGAATAAACTTTTGATTTGACGTGGCCCTATATTTCCGGACAGAGGAAGTGGGTTAAGATTTATTATTGGCTGGCGATACAGCCCATGTTTTTAAAAAGGGTTAGGTATCAACACAATGGTGATCATGGATACATTTCCAGGTGCCATCCATGTTTTCTGGGAATAAATGACGAAGGTCCGGTATTTTACCTTATACATGTTTCACATGTTTTGTAACATGTCCAAACATGTTGTCAGTACGACGTAAAAAAGTAAGAGTGAAGAGGATTCTGTGTTGTCGGCGACACCTCACACCCACATTCGTCATGGGTTGAAACTACCTTACGTAATGTATCCATCTCAGGTCTCTGATACTAAAACATGTCAAGCATGGAAAACATGGTACGTAAACATGTATTGCAAAACTTAGCATCGAATTACTCTGCGTTTTTGCTGGAGTCACTAAAGTCCACCACACTGCGAAGGAGATCCCACGGCTGGCGTAGACAACCCGTCTTCGAATGATCTCTGGGTGCTTCCTTGTCCACGCGGCGCCAGAAAAACAGGCATACGAACAGACCGCAATTGCCACCGTCGTTCTGGATGGGGTTGTGCACAGCTATTATCTCGTACGGCTCCGTCATGCTCCGGACCACGAGCTCTTGCGCCAGCTCTTCCAGCAAGTTATGATAGGCGCGTTTGTCGAGACTGTCGTAGCAGTAAATGTTTTTTTTTAAGCTGGTTCACAGCGAGGCATGTCCAATGACTGGCATTGACGTTCAGCGGCATGAACACCCATTCCATGTTCGTAGCTGCTACAAGACTTAACGTCAGTGGCGGGATTCGATGGCCCTTATCTTTTGCCGGTGTGTGAAGCTGCGGTAGGAAAATTGTAGTGCTGGCACCGTACTTGGCCGACAGCGTCGCCGAGAAGGCTTGAATTAAATTGTTGTTGAACCAGCAGCCATTTCGAGCACAGTACAAATGCGTCCAGTCCAAGTGAAAGCCCTGGTCGAATCCCGGAAGGCGCTGACCAGGCCATGTTTCAATCATTCGTTTAGCCAACAAAGCGGCTTGGTCATTGTCAAAGAGTATGTCCACCTTACCCATCAGCCATGAGTAGCATTTTAAGCCGTTCGCGCATGCTGCAGACAAGCTCCACAAAAATTGCATCGCCATCAGCTGGCGTTGTGTAATCACACCTACACCATATATGTCTGCTACCCAGCATTCTACGCTTGCGTCCATCGGCGTACTGAGATCCATAACTTCACCGTAGGGTGTCCTGCGTTCAATATCTGCTAGCGCTTTCTGTACCATAGCCTCGGGAAGACGGTAGGGCACGCTATCTTCGGGAGGGGTTCGCTTCGTGACTGTGATGTTTCTCTCCTTGCGCCCGTAGTGTCGCGTCTCAAAAGTGTTCAAATACGAGCTTAGCTCCATCAGCGACGGCTGACTGCTCTTCAGGAACTCCTCGACATGCACTACGTCATCTGCTCGCAACGCATTCCGTAACTTTGCCCCCTTGTTGTACTCCTTCCTGTCGGCGTTTCGCTGAGCGTCTTGTGCAGCTCGATTCTTTCGAGGACGGCCCAGTTTTGGCGCTCGTGGATTGAATTGGTTGATTTTAGGCGTGGCTTTTCATGCTGCTTTCATCGCGCTTTTCTGTAAGTTCACTTCAGGCTTAGGATCCGCTGACATCGAATCGGCAGTTGTTCCTTGGGTCTCGGCAACATGAACACTACTGCCCTTCCCTTCATTGTTCGGATACAGCGACTTGAGTTGGGAGGAGCTCAGAATCAGATGTACCGGACTGCGTGAGAGGTAGAGCTACGTTTCCTTGGCGCAAATTATCACACCAGCTCTCTAGATGGTCCAGCGCGGCAGTGAACTTAGCGTCAGGTAGGCCAGTGAGCTTCGACGTGAGACGACTGAAGACACTCTGAGCGCATTTGTACTTGTTGCGCTCTGTCATCTGTTTCTTGTGAGCGACGTGGTCCCCTTCTGCGTGAATCTGTAGACAATAGAGGGTAGATCACAGTTCACGGTCCCTACTCGAAGCCATCTACATCATAGAAACATGGGATAAACATGATACAACCATGGTTATTACATTCTTGAAAAACGTGGTTAACATGGTGTTAAACATGGCAAGTACCTGGCTGGGATTGAAGCGTACGGAATTGTGAGTAGCGCGGCATGATGTTTTCGATAGATCATCCCATGTCGACAAGGTAGCTTCATCGTAGACGAGAACTCGCAAGTACACCTCCAATCGAACTTGTCCACGCTGTGGGACCGATCATCGCGAGTCAGTGTGACGTACAGCGGCTGGTCGTCAATAGTATAACTGCGTTGATTATCGGAGTCAACAGCAAAGTTGTACTCCGTCAAAAACACACCAGCTTTTTGTCAAGTCGAATAGCGCCACGTCGCCACTTAATCACGTGAAAATGGCACAACAAAATTCGCGCCGTCGGAAACATCTCTTTCAGAACAGCAATCTCATTCAGGTCCTTGTCGACCATGATTACTAGAGTCTCGTCCCAATCGTTCACAGCTTGGAAATGTTCGATCAGCTTGAGCATATGCCAGTCAGCATTGCGCTCGATCACAGAGTGCTGAACAGCTTGTCCGTTTTCAAACTGGTCCATGACCATAAATGTACACAGCTGGTAGTTGTAATTACATGAGAATACAAATTTCACAGTTAATACATGGCCAGAATAGGGTAACATGTATCAACCATGCATTCAAACATTATAAATACCTGGTCAAAACATGGTCAAACATGGATGGGTGTCGTACCGGCTGGTCTTGTGCGTACAGTCAACTAGAAGCAGCTCCGGAAAGCGATTGTACAACTTGCGCATGTGCTGCGAGCAGATAGAGACCACGGCCGTGTGGCCCCGACCATTCACTTCTACATTCGTCACGTTGCCCTCTGCCGCCATGCCAAACTTCAACAGCAATTCTGCTACTTGGTCTTCGTCGGATAGCGTGCTGCCTACAAAACCGATTGTTAGCCATGCTCGAATTCAAGATCCACATTGAAATACTACGTACCCGACTTCTTTATCTTGGCAACAAGGTTGTATACGTCCTGCATTTGCATACGGTGTGGCGAATTGGTACGGATGTAATCGTACAAGCGGCTGGATTTGCTGCCGCTGGCAACCATAAGCTCCACATCACGCATACCGGGCGAGCTTGCAGGTAGTTGGCGGACCTTCGGATACGACTGGTATATATCCTCGGATACAGGATGGTTGTGTCTGTAGAACGCCAGCTTCACTTGGACTCTCCACTCCTTGTCTGCTTTCTTCACCATTTGCGCCACAAACCGTACTTTGCACTCCGTTGCGTTCACGCTATGCGAAGGGCGCACGCCTTTCGAACGCACGCGATTCCTCCAGCCATGAGTGCAGATATACACCCGCTGATACGTGTCCATGGAATCAGGGACGAGCAGCATCTTGGACTCGGCTTTCCCGGCAAACGATTTCATCTTCTTAATCTGTTCATTGCGTAAGCGAGCGTTCAGCGTTTCTGACACGACCAGTACTGTCGAAGTGTCTTTCTGGTACTGCGCTAGATATTCCTCGAAACGCTTCCAATTCTTGTGAAACGGTCTCAAGGATGGGACGTACTCGAACTCCACGTTGCTCTCCATTAGTGTCCTCTTTCGCGATCGCGTACTTGTGCTCGTTCCAGAAGTATCACTCTCTTCTTCATTAAGTGTGTCATCAGCCGCGCCTTACACATCATCTGATGAACGCAGTAATTCTTCAGATTGCGCAGCATCACCGTGACGTGCTGTTTCCAGATCAGCAACGGTGTATTCGTCAAGCTCGTCCGTGGCTTGAGCTGCTTGTATGCCGTCATTGATAACACTTGAACTTACGCCCACTTCACTCTGCACGGGCGAACCAGAGTCCGCCTCGGCGTCGTCGCTGCTGCTGCTGCTGCTGCTGCAGGAAACTGCCATGGCTCGAAGTATACTTGCAGTCTTGCTCGTACGGACCATTGTTCTAGCAGACACCAAGCATATTCACAGCAAACATTGTAAGGTCATGGGATAAACATGAAAAACATGGAGTCCATGTTTTCTTCAATGCATGTACACGTACGTGATCGCTTCAGTGTATGCAGCACAAACGGCCCTCGTTGTCCACGTGCTTGCGGCGCGTGTCTTGTACCGTAACCTCACACGTGTTACTGTTAGATCCACGCAATAATAGTTAGCTTCCATAGCATTCGACGTACACGCATGACACACGACGTACCAGTATAGCACGGGAGGAGGGGGGGCGTATTCTGAGTGAGTGGGGGGGCGTATTCTGGGAGAGTGGCTGAGGTTTGAAGCCCCGGGGCTTCTGAGAAAATGCGGGTCTGGTGCACATACATCAATAATAGCAATGAAAACGGCAAGCAGCGTTAGACATCGTTGATCACGAGACGCGATACGTACATGCGTCTGCGGGGAGACACTACCTGAAGTTCAGCAGGCTGGGCAGGCTGGCAGGGGTAACGGAGCTTCGTTAGCGGCGGTGGGAGGTGCGTCACGTGGCAGAATGAGTGGCTGTGCGATTCGTAATTTACCGAGGGGATTTTTTTAAATTACAAACATGGTCACACATGGATACATAACAGTTTTAAACATGGTGATAAAAACATGGGCTGTACATTTTCCGTTTATTATTTCTTAATATGAGCCTGCCGAAGAGGACTTCTGCTATAAATGTAATTTATATAAGAACATCGGAAAAGGAAAATAAGGAGACATATTTTTCGATGAAAGTTATGCAAATGTGGCTTAATTTCTGCATAATATTAGTTTCTCAGAGCGTTTCGCGCTTGGATTCATTTGTGTTTCGGCAAGGGTCCTGGCTTAATCCTACGCTTACCGATACGTGCTGGTGCAGGTTACATAGTGCACTGTCGCTGTAAATGTCACGCTTGTAGGCCATGCTCTAACGGAAAGGTGTACGTATCGCGATGATGGTCCGTGTAGAGTCGTACAGTGATTCGACACGCACCCCGTCCTCTGTAGCTGCGTAAATTGCGTGGATACAAGGAAATTCTTCATCTTGCTACATTTGAATCGGGTAGGTTAACGAGCAGTGGAGTTTAAAATTATATGAGTATTTCAAATTGATAGTACAGGTAATACTTTTTCACAATCCAATCAGCTACTCGCATACGTACTTAGCAATGATCTAGTTTTCTACAAATGCGAACTTATGCTAAAGCTATCTGTGTACTGTAATATTTTTTAAGATTGCGGTACATATGTACCAAGACCGAATGGTGATTCAAATATGTTCCATGTGTCGGGATCCTCTGCGTTACGATCCCACCAAAATAAATACCACAATGGCGCTCTCGTCCGCTGAGCTTGTTGGGCGTATGAGCAACGGAGGCTGACGATGAATAAAATGACGGATCATGTGCGTTATTGCGGCTCATTCCTCGGCGCGATTTGTGTGGCTCTGCAAGGTAGAGTCCACCAGCTTGTCCAGCATGTACATAAAGGCTGGGTTTTCCTTGACCCAAATGATAAACTTGGTAGCTTGAGAGGGTGTGAGGATCTGCTGTAGCTGAGCTACCTGGGCCTCTAGCGCCGTGTTCTTTTCGTCGGTCACCTCTTCCAGCTTTTTCACGATGCTCAGGGTATGATTCAAATCGTCGCGCACCGTTTTGATAGCCGCTCGGCGCTCCAAAATCTGCCCTTGCTGTTCGTCTGACACCTCCAGTTCATCCACCAGAATACCCCAAAGACTCATGGTTGCGGTGGCGGATTCAGGCGCGGACATCGGGTCTTCCTTGATAACGTGGTCACGCCTGAGCATATCCACACCCTGTTCCACGGAATACAGACTCAACTTCGTGACCTGCGTGGGAAGAAGCAGCTCACGAATGCGCGACAGATGAAAGTGCAGCTTCTCACGCCTCTTTGGCCCATAGTCCGAGTACGTCACTTTGTACATATTCAGGAACTGAGCGATCTCTTGTTCATTCGCATTTCGCTGCAGCATCTCCCGCATCTGCTCCCTAATCTGCTGCTTCTCGCGCTGCTCACTTAAGATCGCCTCCTTGCCGATTTTCAGACGCATCTTCAGATCCATATTTTCTGCCTCAAGTCGACGTAGTCGTGCCTCATTCTGTTCAAGCTGCTTCGTCTTGCGCTTGCGGAACTCTCGTACAGACACTAAGTTTTTCACCCGCCGAAGCTGCTTCTTCTCAATATCGTCTTCGGCTCCAGATCCGGCAGAGGTTGGTGACACCGGATCGCTTTTCTTGCGCTTTAAGGGTCGTTTACTTTTCGCGGTGGCCGACGAGTTTGCTTTGCTCTTAGCTCTAGTGCTTCGAGTAGGCGCCTTTTCTCCAGCGCTCTGCGCCTTAGAAGTACCGTGTCCTCGTTTCTTCCCAGCCCCCCCCTTAGCAGCCGTCACCGACTTGGCTACTGAGAGTTCCCCCTCCTTCTGCTCTTCGGTGTAATCGTCGTCAAAATCTTCGTAGCTCGCGTCTACGCTGAGATTGTGATTGTCAAATGGGCGTATGTTCGGAAGCATTGACATGAAGCTCGATGTCGGCTTGGACGGGGACGACCGAAGACCCTCGTACAGCTGCGCCGCCAGCAATCGAGCGTCCGACTGCGCTGTCCCAGCAGCAGTAGCTGCTTCGACTGCTTGTCCTTTTATCATCTGCTGCTGGCCAAAGACCGAGACCCCCGCCATCATGCGGTCCATTTCGACATCATCAAGCGGCAGAATGTCGCTTACCACGTTCTCTTCGCCGTCGGTTGCCATACTTGCGCTCGTATTCGCGGAGGCCGCCGCGTTGTTGCGCAGCAGCCACCCGAAAGCGTCCTTCTCGCCATCCTTAAAAATGCTCCAATCAATGCCACTCATGGCCGCGGGGGTTCTCGGGTTGCGCCCGCCGCTGCTGAAACTAGCATCCTGTTGGTCGCCCATCAGTGTGGCAGCGCGCGTGGTAGACGGATAAGTTTCCCTCTATTGAGCGAGTTCTCTCTTACTGTAATTGTCTTGCTGCACGCGAGCGCATGTACCGTACTCCAGTTATCGTAAGATAGGCTTCAACAATTTGAATTTAACCAGGGCGAACTGATTCATGCACGTGAATCAGTTTGCAAGTGGCGCCAGCCGTTAAGATCGCCATTTTGCTTTTCATCCATTGGACAAGCTAAGGCAGCCAGCCATGCCGCTACCTGCAGTCTACGGAGCCGTGTACGCTTCGGCCACCAGCTCGGCTCCGGCCGGTAAGAAAGCATTGCGTCACCTGGAAAACCTGCCGCTGCTCGTGGCCTCAGACTCGCTCGAATCCATGACGACGGAGGGCAAATGGCTCCCTCGCTTCATGCGCCGAGCAGTTGTGCGTAGCGTCGCCAACCGTATCGCCGGTCTTATATTGGTGGGCACATCGGCCTTCTTGGCCAGTTGCATCACCACACTGGTCAAGGACGACACAATAAAGCTATCGGCCATCGAGGCGCTGTTCTGGCGCTCTCTCGTGTCCTGGTTTCTTACCGTGGTAGGTCCTTTTTGGTATCGCTATCGTGAGAATATCTCTAACTCGATTTGGCTTGTTGGCTGTCAGGCGGCCTTAGCGACCACCAGCACGAAGATGCGTGTGAAAAAGGAGTTCAACCGTCCGCTCACGCTTCGATGTGTCTTTGGCTGCATTTCAACGACTCTTACCATTGGTGTGCTGGAGAAACTGGCGGTGTCGAATGCCACCGCAGTCACATACGTCAGCCCTCTGCTAGCTTTCGCGATGGTAAGTCCCTCAGCTCGCTTCATTATTTTGCTTTGTCCGCCATATCCCGCATCTCCTTTTACATGTAATTGTTGCGATTTTTATTTGATCGTTAGGCCACCTTCTTCCTCAAAGAAAAACCGGGAGTTTTCACAGCAGTCTGTTCTGCTCTATGCGTTGCCGGTGCTGTTTTGGTCGTGCGACCAGCCTTCCTCTTCGGCAAAAGCGGGTCAACTGACGCCAAGTGGTATCACCGCTCGATGGCAAGCTTCGTGACTTCGAATCTGTTCGGCGAGTCGTTAGCCGTCGGATGTGCCGTCGTGGTAGCTTTCATGCAGGCGGGCGCTTATGTATCGCTTCGCAGCTTACACAAGGTGGAATATCTCGTTGTGATGCAATATTATCTTTTCACGATGACGCTCGCCGCGCTGGCGGCGATGCTAGGCATTCAGCACGGCAAGTTCAAGGCTGGAACGTCTCTGGAGACTTGGGGCGCCATCGTAGGCACGGGTGCGTTGGCATTTGTAGAGCAGCTCTTCCTCACGCGTGGATTTCAGTTTGATGGCGCCGGTGTATTGGCCGCCACGCGGCTCTTGCACGTTAGCTGCGAGTTTGCGTGGGGCGTCATCCTGCTGGGCACTGCTTTGAACCCATGGAGCGCCGGCGGTGCTGGTGTCACTGCGGCCGGCGTGCTTTTCCTCGCGCTTCGCCGAGTGCACACTCATTGGGCAGCAAGACGCAGCTTGAGGAGGATTCTGCAATAAGCAGTTTAAGTTTTTCGACTTGTAAATAAATACACACCGGTTCTTGTTTAAATTTTGATGTAGTTTGTGCTTTCAAACTTAGCCCCCCCCTCCAACTACAAATCAAAGTCGATGGAGACTGCATCTTCCTCGAAGCGACCGCGTTGTCGCTCCGAGCTAGCGCCGGACAAGAATGCGTACATACACTACTCTCGCAGTCACCGTGATGGAGTAGTAGCGGCACATCTGTCGTGGTCCGTTCAGCAGGTCTCGTCGGAGCTGGGGCGGCAATGGAAAGCTCTAACGGCTGCTGAACGCAAGTCCTGGATCGAATTGGCGCAGTTTGACAAGGCACGCTTCCACACTGAAGCTTGCCAACAAATTCGCAAGCAGCAAGCAGATGGCGTGAGTTTAATATATGAGTACCGGTAGTGCTTTCCATCACTGCAATGAAGAGACTGATGAAACCATGCGACTGTGTGTTTCCCGTTCGCATGTACCAGCAACCGGCGCAACTTTCGATTAAGCGAAAGAAGCAGGCGAATGAGCCACGGCAGCCTGACACAGCCTACATTTGTTTCTGGAAGAGCCGACGACCAGAGGTGGTAGCTGCCAACCCGTCGCTCGGTGCACAGCTCGTTTCGAAGGAAGTTGCGAGGCAATGGAGAGCTCTGTCGGACAGTGAACGGCAAGTATGGGAGGACATGGCTACAAAAGACAAGCTTCGCTTTCAGGAGGAAATTGCACGTATGCACCCGACGCTGGCGGCAGCCCCACAAAGCCTGTCTGCGGTGTCAGCCCCCCTAAAAGACCCCTTCGCCCCGAAACCGGCGAAGACAGGCTTTCAGCTATTCATGAGCCACAACCGCGAGAGCTTCACACTGTTAAACATGACGATCAACGATTTCCGCACTGAGATGAGTCAGCTTTGGAAGCGTCTCAGTGATGTTGACAAGAATGAGTGGTATGAGTTGGCTACGCAAGACGAGCAACGATATGAGCGAGAGGTGAACGCCTACAAACTGCCTGCCTACATGAACTCAGAAGCTCAACGCGCGCACGAGCGTATTGACGAGCTTAAGGGCTTAACTCGTGGCGATCCACGCGCACCGCGACTGCCCAGAAACTCGTATAGCGTGTATTTGTCGACAAAGCGGCAAGAAATGGCAGCTCAGCACCCAAACCATAAGAATTCCCAAATTATGCGTGAAATAGGCATTGCGTGGAAGGCATTGAGTGACGTCGAGCGCGCTTTGTATCAGCGCAAGGCTGAAGAGGATGTGGAGCGCTTCCGTGCAGAAATGGAGGCTCATCTAGCACAGCAGCAGGAGGGTCACCATGGTGCCGGTCATTCGGCAACGAGGAGATCACGAAAGCGGAAGGAGCGAGAAGAAGAAGCACATATTCAAGCAAATCACGATCAACATGATCAGCAACTATCTGTTGTGCATGAAAAAGTTAAAGCACGGGTAGTCGGACGCAAGCAGCGGAAGGTAATACCTCCACGACGCCCTAAGACAGCCTACAACCTCATGTATATGTCGAAGCGTACAGAGCTACTAGCGACGTATCAGATGTCCCACAACGAATGCTCAGCCCTCTGCGGTCGCCTGTGGCGTCAGATGCCGGAGGAAGAGCGCGAGCCATACAAGCGCATGGCTGCTGAAGACAAACGTCGGTACGAGGTTGAACTGGAAATCTACAGTGCGGAGGTGAGCCAATCCAGTGAGGGAGTGCTGCGCGACTCTGCAGGATGTTGCTACTTTTTTTAAGCCAAATGTCGAGAGAGTGAGAAGATCACAAAGAATGAAGCAGCCGCAATTTGGCGTGGCATGTCAGAGCAACATCAGTTATTGTGGACCGACCTTGCGAGTGATAATCAGCTACCCGGTGCTAGCATGTTTGAGGAGCAAACAGAAGAGCCGGGGCATCTTGAAGCGCATGAGAGGCTGCTCTGATTATCGATGGAAACTACATTGGAACGAATTCAGTTACTTCATCTGTCAGAGATCTACTCTGAGTCACATGGGCAAGACAACGGACAGGAAGTACGAAACCACTAGTCCGGTGTGCTTTCGAGTGAGTGGTATCTATATATACGTTTAAGGGCAGGCGACTCATATTGCTACGTGAAACGAATCAAAACGAGTTATCTGCACGGGCTTGTCGTCCTGCGAGTAGGAGACTGAGACCTAGCGACTATGAATAGTAAGCTCCGTCGTACCGCAGCGGGGTTTGAACCTCTAGGTGGGGTAAGTTAAGATATGGATTCGCAGAGAAGCCAGTCTGCGCGTTGGTTTTGATTTATATCCAGCCACACTTCGATGCGTAACTGCTCGCGGACTTAATGCCTTCCGCTGTGTGCGCTCGTCTTCATACTCCAGCGGATAGAGTTAGAGTACGAAACGAACCAAGCACCCAGCTTTGAATATCTTTCTTGGATCGACAAAGCTCACTTCTCAAGTTGGCGACCGTCGCCCAATCCACCGGAATTCAGCATCAGTATCTTAGACGATAACGCATTAGAAAAACAGCTCGTCGATGCTTCACGACCCGACCTCGTATTCAAGACTCACGTCATTCTCCCCTGCAGCATCTCCAAGTCCAACTGACAGTGTTAAGTCAGCAGGCTGCAGTCCTTCTTTTCTACCCATCACAACTCCAGCCATGGCTAAGCTGTTCGATGGTGACTTCAATAACTCGAACTCACCAGCTATTGTTCCTCTCGTGTCGTCGGCTAGCGTACCCCCATTAGACTCTAATTTAGAGATGTCGCTTGAATCATCGACTCTAAAATCCTCAGTAATGACAGCCTCTACTCCAGCACCATCCAACGCGACTCACCAAAAGGGACAGACAGGCATGAACGGTGGCCGCTGGACGGAGCTAGAACATCAGAGCTTCCTTGCGGGATTGAGGCTCTACGGCCGTGAATGGAAAAAAGTGGCGGCAAAGATCAAGACTCGCACGTCTGCGCAGATTCGTAGCCATGCACAGAAGTACTTCGCCAAGCTCGCGCGCGATGACGAAATGCGAAAGCATAGCGGGCTGTCCATGGTCATGTCTGGGCCTGTCGGATATTTCAGCGATGGTGGCTCCTCCATCGCCCAGAACAGTGGGGACGACGAAGATGATGGATCCGATGTAAGACAAATGGCCCGCGGTCGCTCAGCAGGACAAGCCAAAGGAACTGCTGCTATCTTGATCGCTTCGATGGACTCAGCTGCTAGTAAGCTTTACAAGCAGGCAGCGACGGCAACTAAAAAAAGATCGCGAGCAGTGGCGACAGGCTTTGAGGATCAGTTCGGAATGAACTCGACCCCCTTACGATTCCCCTACAAGCTTCAGAAACGAACAGAGGACGCCGTAAGTGTGGAAAATCTTCCGTCGCAGGAAGAGCTACTCGCGACGGCGTCTCCAAATCTTCGCCACCGACTATCCAGCCTCATTGAAGCAGAATTGTGTGCTCTTCAGGTCCTCTCATGCTATGCCATGCTGCAGCAGCAAGATCAATTCTCAACTCCAATACAGAAAGCCAAACGGCAAGGCAGACCACGCAAGCTAGCGACAGTGACCGCTACCGCCACCGCCACCGGAAGTACCACAGCGTCGTCGCTTGGCCTATATATGCTATCTACGGAGCATATTCCACCGACGTCGTCGATCTATTAAAGTATCAGATACAAGGTACTTTGTAGTGAGATCGGCAGACAGAAACTATGTACCTGTTGCACTAGTTGTACAATTTTTTACAGCAGCAATGCGATTAATACATGCACACCAAAGCGAACCCCGCAAACTTTATATTCTTCACTAAGCCTTCGTCATCGATTTTCTCCCGCCTTCATGCTTGAGGTTCTTCTTGTTGAGCTTTGAGGAAAAGTTCCAGCACGGTTGCAGCAGCAGAGCGAGGGCTATAAAACCATGATCCAGATCCTTCTTCATCTTTTCAGCTATAAGTCGCACAGGAGCACTGCGTGATACAGATCGCATGAGTTGCTCGTATAGCTGGTTCCACATCCAATTCGAGCTTTGCGTATTGCGCTTCTGAGCGATCTGCGGACACACGGGTGTTACCACCCATACACAATGGTCTGCGTTTTCTCAAACGGTATGCTTTACTGTACCTTATCAAGCTCACCCATCGTCTTTCGGTATTCCTCAGCAATCGCCCATACTTATCGATGCCTTTCTTCTCCAAAGCAGATATCATTTTTACCTACACAGGCAACGCTTGATTAAAAATTCGCTGCGTAGAGAAAAAGATAGCTTACTTATGGTTCCCAATCAGGATCTATCCTGCGCATGAGGTGCATTGCATGCATGTAGTCCACCGCAGTATGCTTCGCCGGTCTGTCGCGTTCGCAATCATCAGCGGGAGGGCAAACGCATCTTCTTTTAGCAACCTGCGTACCCTGTCAGCTCTCCGTCGGCTTTGTTAACCACGACAATGTCGGCAATCTCCACAATGCCCTTCTTTTGGCCTTGGAGGTCATCACCACCAGCCGGAGATACCAGCAGCATGACCAATGGTCAGACCGTATCTACTGTGTCATCGATCACGATCTCTGACTGACCCTCTACGAGGATGATATCGTATCCGCCAGCCTCACAGAGCAGAACAACTTCGTTCGTATGCTGTGCCACGCCGCCCAACGTACCGCGCGAAGGTGATGGACGAACGAACGCGTTAGGGTCGTTGGATAGTTTTTCCATGCGAGTTTTGTCGCCAAGAATCGAGCCGCCCGATCGTGAAGATGACGGATCTGACAGCAGAACAGGCGATAGATCAGCACAAAATCGATTTGTAAAACTACTTCACTGCAGAGCATACCTTTAGCGAGACCGCCACCTTATGGCCTTGCGCGGTGAGAAATTGGCCTAGCGTCTCGATAAACGTGGACTTTCCAGCACCTTGTGGCACAGCGATGCCAAGTCGGATTCCGACTTGGCATCGCTGGGCCTCCGACTCGGAAGGATGTCAACCCCGCCGGGTCGACATGCGCGGGCTTCCGCGATCTGCGCTGCGTGAGTACACTGTCCAGCAGTAGCTCCGCCTGCTCTTCGTCCCTCTTCAGTGTTGACTCGACTGTCATTCATTCGTTTACAGCAAGTCGATCAGCTCTATTGATAGTTATTTTAGGAATATTGCAACAATGCAATAATTGCATTGCAAGGCCAACTTCAAGGAGACCGCTCATACCCAACGTGATGGACCTGCTGAGAGCTGTGCGATTTCCCTGCAATACGCCGTCCACCAGTCGCTGCGTCATTGGCCGCATCTCTCGGGCAAATGCCACAGAGACACTGAGCAAACGCACCCTGGATGCAGATGAAGTAGATCGTGGCACTCTCGCCACAATCGCGCCGCAGGGTCGCCCAACGACGCGCCTCATTCTGTACTGCCGTCGGCTTGCGTTTTCACTACATCGGGTCCCGACTAACTGCGAGCATGTTGAACTTGCTATTATGTTCACTAGGTTTCGTGTGTGTCCACACTTTGGTTTTAATCACTCGGAATTTGTATGGGCTAGGGTAGTAGTCAGTTGCATTAGCAAACGTTTCTCACTTGGAGACGCAGCCAACTCGAGGGTCAGCACCGTAGCAGGCTTTCATTTCCACGAACACCAGCCCAGTGACAGCACGTACGATCGAAGCGCTATTTGAGCCCAGCGCCGCCAGCCCCCAGAACCACCTCCCTCTTCATTCCTAGAGCTTTGCTGCCACCACTGATTCCAGCATGGGGCAAGGATTATCCCATAACGGTATGCCCAGCGGCGGGGACTTCTATGGGGCCCCTATCTACGCGACCAGCCTCAGCCATGACCGGCAGACGGAGGTTCGCGTAAGTGGAGACTCGGATACAGTACAAATCGGCCCACGCGCGCAATTACCGTATCTGGAAATGCCCGGCATGCGCAAGCAGGATTTCTTCCGACGGTTAGGCCTGGTGGTCAAGACCCGCGGCAGCCGAATCACGCAGAACGCCGAGGTTGTGATCGCCGACTTTTACAGACTAGACGGGAAGCGCTTCGTTCCACGGGATCACGGGCAAGGACCGCAGCCTACGGACTGGCACGGACTCAAAGGACCCGCTGAGGCCAGTTGCGGCCTGCGCGCTGGGGACACGCTCTACGCTATCAACCACCGACTGGTTATGAACAAATCCAAGGGGCAGGTACTTCGGCAGATCAACTCCCTGCTGGAGAAGGGCGACGGCACGGCTGTCGTCCTTACATGGAAACATACAGACGAGGTTGATGTCGTGTCCTGGGAAAACGAGTTGTGCATGCCACCGCCTGAAGGCGTATACACGCAGATGGAGAACGAGTGGGGACCTGCGAGACCAAGCAAGATCTCATCTGTCTCCATCTAGCAACCAGGCCTGCTCCTCCCCCATGTTTGAGCGCGTGATACAGCCACGACCCGCCTCACCAACGAACGACAATCCAGTTTTCACTTTTTAATCTTTTTCAACGGCATATTTTCTTTTGCCGTGCCCGCCAACTACAAGTCAGGAGCACCGACGGGATACGAGCACGCCCGCGATGATTCTCAAGTGCGTCGGCCGTAAAGCTCTTTGTACACGTATGCGGCCTCTTTCGCCGATCATTAGCTCTTGCGATCGGGGACATCTACAGTAGTGATCGAAACGACGAAGAGTGGTCAAAGGATGCCACGATTTGACCAACGCAGCTTTCAAAACGCATGAGCCAGCTGAGAATAGCGACGGGAGGACAGGAGGACAGGCTCAACACGAGGTTTGACTAGTAATCGCTCGAGTTCTAGTTTATTTAGTTTTGCATTTTATCTCGATGCCATCGAAGACATATTGTCACCGCAGACGTTGATTGATCGTCGACTGTTGCTCCTTCCGCTGGAAGAGGGAGACTGGCGTTGCTGCTGCGACAGTGTAAACAAGCACAATACATGCCCAATTGCAGTACCGGTATGGCAGCTCGTTTTACTTTTGTTGCCTGGCAGGTATTGCCGTCGTGCTGTTTCGCAACATCGTGTTTAGAACGGTTTAAAACGGAAGGCCAGTCTACAGTACTTGCACTGTATCCGATGCCCTGCATGATGAGCCTTTCGCGAAACCAAGTACATGTAATACATGTAGACTGTAAATTTTGGACTTAGTTCATGGAATGGTAATTCGTAAGTTACTACTGTACAGTATTACGTTTGAATTACTACGAAAAAGACAAGTCACGAAGACCACTTACCCAAGTACTGTAACGACCAGCCGAAGCAACACGACGGTACATCCATCGCAAGTATTAGTTTAACGGTAAAGGTCAGTCGGACATTATCCACCGGACGACCATAGTTCTAGCCTTTTCTCCTTCTTGTCTCTCTGTCGAGTCTAATCCTCCACTGTCAGCATCTTTTTAAGCCGTTCAAACGTGCCAAAAGTAATCCCAACCATGGGCACAACCTTCATAAGTTCCGGCGTGAGTCCACGGTAGAACCCACGGATACCCTGTGTATGCAACAGTTCCGACGCAATACCCGACGGTGTCGGCTTGATACCCGCATTCTCCGCATGAATCGCCGAGATCTGCAACCGACGGCGCACAACGTCAATGGGAAACGTCAGCAGTGACGAGGCGATACCAGCCGTGCCACCGCACACAAGCGTATCCGTCACACACAGATGGGCCCCGTCATACATCTCCGCGGCTTGTTCTCTTTCAACGCCAGTCAGCCCTGAAAGCGCCTGATTACGGCGGAACGACCGCGCGTATTCCTTGAGCGATTCGTACAAGGTGAAATTAACGGCCAGATTGGGGACTGCGACCATGAGCGTAGCGCCCATGCCGCGGTAAAGTCCCAGCACACCTTCCTCGGCGCTAATGCGCTGCACGGCATGACGAATGCCTGTGTATCGAATGTCTGTGTTGAGCTGAGTCGCCAATCGCGTTCGAATGAGGTCGATCGGATAGCAGGCCACAGTGGCTGTTGCGCCGGCCAGCGCACCCGAGACGAACATAGTGGTCCATGAATTGTAAGCGAAAGCAGGGTGGTTCTGTGCAATAATTCCATTCTTGACCATCTCAAAGGTGAAAAAGTTCACAGCCGAGTACGGGAAGCGGTGTAGCACACTGGCGCCGTTGCCTTTCCAGAAAGCAAGAGCACCTTCGTTCTTGAGTACCTTCGTAAAGGCACTGCTAACGGTAGGAGAAAAGCGGTCGGTGTGCCGCGTGGAGACCATGCTGTGCACCTGGAAGAGGATCGTAAGACGGCTTAGCGGCGCAGTGACTGTCTTGCCGACGCTTCCGGCCACACCGCCCGCGAAGAGCACGCTTCCGTGACGCATGAGCTGCTTGACCGCGTCCTGATGTACCAGTTCCACGTCCACACCATCCGTCTCCGTGCACAGATCGCCCGTATCGCCGAAGGTGACGACGCCTGTGGTGTGGCGCCGCAGCGTAATGCGCACCTCGCGCTCGCGATCTACGGGAAAAGGCAGCACGCCTCTGTCTTCATGGTCTCCTTCCTGGTTAATCGTTGGACCACGAGACATACTAGGTGCCAGAAAGAAGAGACCGCAAAGGGACGGAGTCGCCCGAAGTGGTCGCTGTTGGTGCTGCTACAATCCAGCTTACCTTGTTAAAAAATGTTGGGTGGCCTACACCTTATTACCTCAGAAGAATGACATCCAATTTATTGTTTGTGACGTGACACAGTTCTTCCGTCTGGACCAGTGCGCGCCGAGATGGACATGCGGTCGAAGGCGTACCCGGCGCTACCGGATGGTCGCGGCCTACGCCTAGTGATTCCGCGTGCTGGAGACTTACGCTTCCGCCCGCAGATCCCCGCAACCTTCTCACAAAGGCTGTACATCCACGCGGATCCGCGCCGCCGCTTCTGGTACGCTCGCTTCCAAGTGCGGCGCAAATTTATCGTTATGTCCACCCAGGGAGACTTGTACGCGAAGACCAGCGTGGCTACCTTCACGATGGCTGACCTACCCAAGAAAAATGTGCTCAGTATGCCCCGTGTTGCGCGCGGAGACCTCGTTAAGGTCTTGGACCTCGTGCAATGCTCCAGAAGTGAGGGGCAGCAATGGGAGCTCGTATTCGCGCGCTGGCGCAACGGCATGGAGACGTGGCTGCCACTGGAAGTGGCTCAACTTTACGCGACCAATCTGCTGCAGGAATTCTACGTCAACAGCGTCAACTCATGGGCCTTTCACTCCCGCTTACAGCCAGAGAGCCTCTTGGCTTTCCGGACGGAGGTGGAGCTGTGGCTTTTCCACACGGAGTTTCAGGAATTCTACAAGCGATTACGTCAGAAGCGAGCAAGTGGCAGCACAGTGGCACAAGCGCAGCAGCAATCATCACAGACGCCGGATCGGGTGCCTGTAAAACCGGAGCGGCCGACGGCACCTGTACATACGTCACTTACGCCCTCCGCGCCGCGCCCGGTTCAAGCAGGACGACCACCAGCCCCTGTAACGACGGCTGAAAGTGACCCATCAGAAGCCGTGATTCAGGGATTTGAGCAGCGAAGACTTGCGAGGGAACATCAGGAGCGTCAGGCGCAACTCGACCACGAGCGACAACAGCGTCTGCTACAAGCGCAACAACAGCGACAGCACCGGCAGCGCATTGAACAGCAAGCCGAGGAGCAACGGAGATTACAGCGTGAGCGAAAGGAGCGTGAACGACAAGTACAGGAACAAGAAAGTGCGCGACGTCTTCAACACGAACAACAACGACAAAAAGCCCACGACGAGCTGCAAAGGAGCCAAAAGGAATATCAGCAGCGGCTTCGAGCTCAAAGGGAACGAGAAGAGCGAGCGGATTTACAGCAACAAGAGCAGGAAAGACAACAGCGAGCAAAGGAACAAGAACAATTGCGACGGAGATTGCAGCAGGACAAGCCTCAGAAGAAGCAGCCCGTGTACAAGCAACTACCTACGCGTCGCCAGGAAGCTACGACGCGAACACAGCTTTGCCAGAAAGAGCGACAAGCGATGTCGGACTCGCACACCTCATCCTCGCAACGGTCGAAAGATAAACACTCCAGTTCAATTTGGAGTAACGATGGGGATGATGAGTACGTCCCCCCAGAGGCGAGCGACAGTGAGGACAGCGATCCCAGTGCTGACAGCGAGTCGAGTGAGGACAGCTTTGATGGGCGGCTTATCCGAAAGCGCCGTCGAAAACGATTATTATACTCCCAAGTAGAGCTCGATGACGACGACGATGACTTACCGGACCTGTCGCAGCCACCTCCTGCGACCCGTCGACGGAATACACGCGAAGACAACAGCGACGATGATCCACTTGATGGGAAGCGTGTGAGTAAAAGGCGGAGAAGGTTGCGACAGCCTGATTCGAATGGCAGGAAAAGTAAAGATGTTGAGGTTGACCTCACACAGCTTTCAGATGAAGACGAAGATTCAGTGGATCTGCTGACGGAAAATGGAGTAAACGCGTCAGTGGAACCGTCTGGGGGAGGGTCTGGTAGTGGTACAAGTACCTCAGAACTTGCTGACGAAAATGGTGATGTTGATCTTGACGACGATATGGATTTTGAGCCGTCAGTACTTATTGGAGAGATTCGATGTGTGTGTGGTGCTACATCCGTGGAAGGATACCGTGGGCAATGGCTACAATGCTGGAAAGAAGATTGTGGTGTTTGGGAGCATGCCGATTGCGTTGGATTTTTGACAAGTTTCGAAACCCGCCCACTATTCAAGTATCTTTGCAGTCGTTGTGACCCTGAGTCATACTTGGCACGTTGTTTGAAAGCATCTCAACGAATTCTGGACTGGCTGTTTCAGTGTTGTGACAGTAGAAACTCGAAGAAGTTGATGGATTTACTTGAAGGCAATATTGGGGCTGATAACCTCCCATCCGATTGGAAAAATGCGAATTATGGAAACAGGACTCTAGCGATGCATGCTGCACGTAATAGCCTTACCAAATGCTTGTGCTACTTGGTAGATAAGCGCAAGGCGAACCTTTTTGAGACGGATTCACAGAGTCGTAATGCACTGCACCACGCTGCGCTTGGTGGATCCCCCGCGTGTTGTCAAGTTCTACTGAAACGTGATCGAAAACTGCTGCTTCACCAAGATTTACGAGGTTGCTTGCCTTTCCACTTGATGCTGCAATCAGCTAAAGTAAACTACCTGTGTGTCCCATTTATCAGGGAGGACTTGGCGCTAGTGGGTATGGGCGATCTAGACTCCAACTTCCCAATTCACTACGTTTGCCAGGCTATCAGCAGGTACACAGTAGAGATCTGCCGAATGATCTTAGCTGCTCAGCCGTCAATGCTTCGGGAGAAGTCCAGCGATGGCTTATACCCTTTGATGATTTTGTGCAAGGCAGCAAATACTGATTCTACACCACGAACCAGTGCGATCAGTGCAAGAGAATTGTGTAGAAGCGCGAAGGACATTATCGCGCTGATGCTTGATATCGACGTGTTTGGAGACTGTTTGAACCAGACGGCACCCAATGGATGGCCTCCACTTCATTTCGCAGCAGCGTCGGGTAATCACGAGCTTGTTACGCATCTTAGCAACATCGGGCTGTGTGACATACAGTATGCTGCGAAGGGATCTGACCAAACAGCTCTTCATATTGCGGCACACAACAATCATTCGCTGTGTGTCCGTGCACTTTTGCAGGAAGGATTAAATGTTGTGGCAAAAGATACGGACGGGTGGATTCCAATGCTGTACGCGGAAGATGCTGTCTGCGCTCAGGAGTTTATGCACTACAAGCTGACAAAGCAACTTTCGAGGCTGCATCGGATGCTGGGCAAATTCCAGCAGAGAGGGCTTGTCCGTCGATGGCAGCGTTGTGTAGCACAGGACCCGACATGCTTCGATATTCTCAATGATTGGTGCCACAGTGATACAGAACGGATCGAGCGAATGGAAGGGCTCTTGCTGTCGAGCCCGTTTTTACTCCGTCTGGACAACAAGATGGATTACGTTTGGAGGTACATTATTCAATCCATCAAGAAATCTCGAGGTCATTGCCCACTTGGCGTCGAAAACGGGAAATTAGGCGCTCAGAATCAGTCGCGACAGAAAAAGCTCGCTTTCACCTTTTCGCGCAAAAATGGTTGTTTCTGGAAGCAATTCGTTAGTATGGGTTTGCAGCTAGAGCCTGAAGATTTTCGGTTGCCGATCATTTTCTCCATCGAACGAGGCAACTCGAGCAACCAAGGTGTCGAGAATCGTGAGGGCAATCTGAAGCTTGTGCTGGTTCGACTAGCGGCGGGATTGCTCAGGGAAGTACCAGGTTTGCTTGAACGCAGCTCAAGTGACGATTTGGAGAAGACGCCGCTCTCTTCTGACAAGGAGGAACTGGCAGCGCAATTGCTAGGTTTTTTCATGCTGGGTGAGCTGATTGCACACTTTGTGCTTTATGCAGTCCCTTTAAGTGGAATCCTAGACTTCACTGCAGCGTTTTTGCGATGTATCGGTTGCAAAGGGAAGTATCGTTTGGCACGTGATAAGGCTTGGGAAAACGCTGGACGCTCATTCGCTGCAGGATTCGAGGCTGTGCTGCCAGCAACTCTTGATCTCTTTCGCGCCGATGAGCTCCGTGTGCTTTTCAACGGCCCCGATATGAGCCTCAACGCTATGCAGATCGACTGGAATACCGCGGTTAACTGGAACATGAGCGGACACGAAGTAATAGGAGACAAGGAAGTTGGAAGTGCGAAGACGTGGTTGCCTCGCTTAATTAACGAGCTAGTGGAGGAGGAGCAACAACTTGTACTGCTGTTCATGACGGGCACATTCCAGTTAGTAAACGAGCGCTTTTTTCGGGCTGAAGGGAATTCTGGGCGTATTACGGTTGAGTCTTTTCTCGAGACCGACGGCATGCTGGACCACGACAAGATGTATCCGTCGATGGAGCACAAGGCAGGTATACTACGACTTCCGTCTTATTCATGCTACGAAGCTTTCAAGAAAGGGATGCTAGCTGCCATTCGTCATACCAACCAAGCATTTCTTCCGGAATAATGTAAACGGGTTTAAAACTATTGATTCTTGCTTACCTGGTACTGAAGCCCAAAGAGATAATCCTGCAATAACGTGACTACTGGAATATCAATGAGCTCTGTAAAAAGATCATCGACTTCCTCGCGCGTGCTCACACACTCCAGCTCATCTGCTCGGAAGCTAAAAAGTGCTGCAGCGAAGATGACGACAATTTCTAGCGAATCGTAGCCAATGACGCGATCCCAGAGGAGGAGTACTTGATCAATGTCCAATACACCCGAGAACGCACTCTGAATCCACGGGAATGCAACGTCCAGAGGTTTGAGGCCAATGTTTCTGAGATGGAAGACAGCAGCGGGACTGGAGCGCACAATGAGATCCTCAAATAGCTTGCAAAGTGGTAAGATCGTTCCTCGTTCAGTGCGGATAACATTGAGCTTGCTCCAGTATCGAATGTACAATTCGCGGAAAACGTAGTAGATCTCTACAGGGTCCGCAAAGAGATATGCTAGTGGAGCCAGATACATCACAAGACCACTGAAAGGTAGCACGCCGTTCGGGGGAACTCTGCTCTCAGCTTCTTGAGGCCGTAAATTTGCTGTCGTTGGAAGTCCAGCTCCAGACAACGAACATGTCACGGCACCATTAACTTGCAGTGCTTGAGCCTTGACGTATGTATCCCGAGTGAATGCCATGAGTACGCTTTCGAGGTGGTCTTGGAAAACGAAGTAGTCACAGCTGTTGATTGTCTGCTGGAGATCAAGCAGATACATGTCGTCCGTGAGGTAGGCCCACTGCGCGACTTGCTGTTGTAATTGTGCGTAGTAGTTTCGATCCAGTGCGGTGATAGGGACTGACAGAACTTGCCGCCATATCTGTATCAGGATTTATTGAGTGAACTGGGCTGTTTTGGCATTTTGAATTGTAGAATACCTTACCTGGGGTCGCAAACTGACAGGGCATCCTGTCTTGGAGTATTGGCGAGCCATCGACACACTTTGATGAGCTAGAACTAGATCGCCGACACGGATTTTCTCAGCAATGAACGCACCCCTTTGCGTGGGGAAGAGCTCATCAAGTCCAATTTGACCGAATTCTGGAGCGAGCTCCGAGAATAACCGTCGATACTCGGGGAATGGCGGTGAATAGAGCTGTAGTTGAATCGAGCCTGCGCCAAAGCCAAACGTCAATTTCTGAGCAATAAAAGCTGAGTGCTGAGTGCGTACCCCAAGTGTCTGCTGACGTCTCCGTCGACTCGTGAGCTCGGTTGAGCGGCTCGATGGCTTGGAGTGAACGCAGCAGGTCAATTCTAGTGTTTAAGAGCGACAATTACAGCTAAAACGAACCAATCAGCTTGATATCATGTCATGCCGTACCCGTCGTAGAGAAATCGTGCAGCTTGTATTTTGTTCGGCTTGGGAGATTTCGTGCTCTCACCATCGGTTTGTGCTGTCTGCCCGCCGTCGCGTTCTGCTGTTTTCACCGTTGTTTTAGGTGCTACTAGTGGCTGTCCCAGCTCATTTGCAACTCTCATCATCTCGTCACTCGTGATCATTTCCCAGTTGTCGCGCGCAGCTCGAACGGCATCAAGGCTGCAACCATCCGTCGCGCGCACCTCCGGTAGTAAAAGCCCATCATCTAGCGAGTTTTTCAAATGTTTCTTCGACGCGGCAGCTGCAGTCTGCATGGCCTCGCAGTGCAGATCGATTACAGTACGCTTGATCAGGCCTAACAGTCCCATCTTTTCCAGCACCGAGTACATGAGCGGGTTGTCCATCCTCCGCAAACTCTGCACCTGATCTACCGAATACTGGGACTGCGTGAACTCCTTCTTGACGGCGTGCTTCCACTCGTTAAGTTGGTCCATTGCTGCCAGCTGCTCGGTAAGCAAAATCGCTCTTTCCTCGAGCCCTGTTTCCTTCTCGTAGCGGAGCGCCGCCATTCTATGGAGCGCACTTCAACTTACAGCTAACGAGGTATTCGTACTTAAACGAAGTTGTATTTTTCAAGTTTTCATGAGTTTTTTGTCCGCACAGTCGAATCTTGGCCAAAATGAGGCTCTTAGCGCTGGTGCCGCTACTTATGGCTCCGTCCCGAGCCTTTTTCTTCCACTACCCGAGTGTTCACGGCGATTCGTATAGCTACGAGGGCGACGGTGATGCCCCTGACCACCCCGAGAATCTTTTCCAGCCGGACGACACCTTCACCGATGTGTGGGTGGCACCAACAATTGCTTCGAATAACACTATGCAACGGACTTCATCGGGTGCTCTCTATATTTACCTTTCCTAACAGCACGCTGGAGAACTGGGATCTGAGCCAAGTCGCGGTTCTTAATCTCCCTCACACAGTCCAGAAATTGTACGACGGTAACTTGGTTTCGTACCCACGCCTGGTATCAGCATTACTAAAGTATAATTTGTAGGAGTCTTGTCAAGTGTAAGCTGTCTGTCATCCCGGAGGAAGTGCGCACTTTGAAAAATTTGCGGGAATTGTACGATAGCCGAGCGCTCTCTTCATTTTGGTGTCAGTTTGAAGACTGACGAAATCTGTGCATAATGATCCGGCAACGACAGAAATCTGGCGAATAACGGATTGAAAGTGATCGGCGGAGTATTTTCAGCCTCTGCAGCCTTGACCAAGCTGTACGTTTTGTAATTTGGGGTCAATTGCTCCGTATAAAATCTGTATGCTTAGCAAACTATCCTACATTTTTGTAGGAATGTTTCACACAATGTTATCGACAGCTACGACGTTCCATTTCCACTGCTGGGCACTCTGTAAGTTGTCGTGTGAGACATACTGCTACAAAATTACTACTCTAACCTCGGAATTTGTGTGTCCCGCTTCGGTCAGCGATCTATCGACCAATGCCCTAGCGAAGTTCCCCAACGCAGTGTTTGCATCGTCTCAGTTGGACAGCTTCCGCATTCCCGACAACGGGTTTGAGATCGTGACGATGTCGACGGCACAGTATGATTTCTTTGCGGGTTTATCTGATTTCCAGGCTAGTTTCGCCGACATCTCAACATGTGCATCTGGGTCGCTCGTATACCTGCAAGGGAAAGGTGTGTGCCGTTTGGATATCGCAGCAGAAGAAGACCCTGCAGTCGTGATGAAAGATCATGGGGCGGACCGAGAGGAGCCCTCTACTCCAATGGCAACGGTCGGGGTGGTCATTCCCCACTTGCCGATCCCAAGCAACAATACCACCAAGAAATATATCATTGCAGCAATTATTGTACTGATGGTCATCGGTGTGATTGCTGGTGTGATCTCTCTAATCTCGCTTGGAGTTGTTGGCGGCATTGCACGCGCAGTCTACGACTACATCGGCAGGTGGCAGAAAAAGCGCCACCGTGAGGGTATTCACGAGAACACGCCTTTGTTTTTCGACCAGGCAGCTCGTGCCAGCTACCAGAAGGAGATGGATGCGGTTGATAAGTTGTTCCCATCAAATGACCCGGTACTGGTGACCTGGCGCATTGATTACGATAGTGTAACACTTGTGAAGAAGATTGCGCAAGGTGCGTTCGGAGAGGTGTGGGTGGGTCAATACCGCAATACTCGAGTAGCTGTGAAGCGGTTGATTCAAGACCAGGTGTCGCTAGCGACCAGTGAAGCGTTTCTGCGTGAGATCAAGTTGATGGCGTGGCTCGAGCACCCGAAGATTGTCCAGTTTGTGGGTGTTGCGTGGACAAAGCTGGTTGATATGCTGGCCGTGATTGAATACATGGATGGTGGCGACCTGCGGACGCTTCTGGATAAGAAATCCCCCAAGAAACTTCCGTGGCAGGAGGGCGGGCTGAAGCTACAATACGCTTGTGACACGATTGATGCCGTTGTGTATCTACATTCGCTAAGTGTCGTAATTATTCATCGTGATCTCAAATCCCGAAACATTCTTCTCGACTCGAAGAACGGCGCTAAGCTTGGAGATTTTGGGGTATCGGCTACTAAACGACAGCACGACATGACTGTCGGTGTAGGTACTGCCCGTTGGCTCGCTCCCGAGATCGCACGTGGGGAAGATAAATACACGGAGGCCGTCGACGTGTATTCCTTCGGCATTATCCTATCCGAGCTGGACACCCATCATCTACCCTTCGCGGATGCCAGAACGAGCTCAGGGGCGCCACTCAATGATATGGCCATTCTTCAAGGTGTTTCATCCGGCGCACTTCAGGTCGCCCTGTCTCCTACGTGCCCTCCCAAGCTTGAGGCTCTTGCGAGAAGCTGCATGCACTTGGATCCTGCTCAGCGTCCAACCGCAGCCCAGGTTGCCTACGAACTTCGAAAACCAGGTCTACTACATGTACTTTAAACGGTGCGCAAGAGGTTCAAGTAGTTCAGATTAAGCTTTAGGAGTCAAGCGTTTATGCAGTAAGAACGAAAAATACGAGGAAGTTTTACCGGAAGTCATGGAGCTCTGGCTTCTGACTAGAACCGTAATGTGCGATCTACCGAAGTCGGCAGCCATCGTGATGGGGCGCTGTTGTCGGTGGTTGAGTAGTATAGGTAGGAATGTTGGGTGTTTGCGTCGATGGCGCGTTTGTGGCCTCAAATGAAGTAGTTGCGGGTGGTTCTGTTGCAGGGACTTCAGTGCCAGGACTTGCCAGAAACGTCGGGAGCGGTGGAGCGGGTGAAGCGGTTGTTCTTGACAACGTCGGCGACTGACCGGAACACTGATAACGGCTATCAGAAGGTGAGGGACACGCTTCATTGGAAGTGCTATCACTGGCCCATTGGAACTGGCGAAGAACTGGAGAACCTGCAGGGCAAGTGGATGTTTCCGCATGGTTCAAAGGGATCTTGTAGGTGTTAAGCGTTGGCTGGCCCGAGCTGTCGTACGACGTGTATGCCTCTTTGAGGTTCTCAAAGTTAGGGAAACGCTGGAACGTGCAGTTTATGCCTGCGTCCGTGCAGTCCTCCGGCGAAAAATAGCCCAGTCCATAGTTCTGTGGGCCGTATGCCCTAAACGGGTAGGCTGACGTTGACATGGAATTGGCATTCTCCGTCGAGTACTCGAAGGCGACGCCTCCAGCGAAGTAGTCGCTGTACTCTGGCAGGTTCATGAACACAGCGTCGTGGAATGTGCGCTGTGCCTCGTAGCCGTCCACAGTAGGGAAGGCCGGACTGACACAGCCGAATTCAGTGAGCACTACGGGAATGGAGTAATCGTAGCTTTTGAAGCTGTCGCGTAGCATGTTGAAGCCGGTGGCCTTGGTGGGGTCCGAGATGTCGTCGCAATGCACGTACGTGTTGATGCCGTACCACTGCGCGTTTTCAAGCTCGTCGCTCTCATCAGTGCGGCAGTTGTAATACTGCGCATTTTCAGCTCGGTTCATGTCAGCAACAACGAGTCCCACCGGCACCTGGCGCAGGTTGGGGCATGACTGGATAAAGGCGCGCATATCCCGAATGAACTTCTTCTGGCACGGCGCGTTCCATGTCCACGGATTACCTCCGGTACGGTGGTTGATCTCGTTTCCCCCACTGAACGCCAAGACATTATCGAAGCGAGCAAATTGTTTGATGATCCTCTCTCCGCGTGTCTTGTAGGACGCGGGATAGCATGCTGGCGCGGCGTCAGTCGTGATTTCGCATCCTTCGCAGTTGGCTCCGAGATCGACGATGACGTAGACACCCGCAGATTCCAGTGTGCACATGAAGGCGGTATGATCGACTTCCGGGTCGACGGCGTAAAGTCGAACAACGTTGGCCTCCAGCGCTGCAAATTGCGGAACATCTCGCTGCCAAATGTGCTTGAAGTCGTTGGAGAAGAGATCGAGGTTGTTTTTGTCCAGGGGTCCAGTGTTGGGTCTGGGATAGTAGTTGACACCTTTGATGGGAAAGTAGTCTCCCGTGGCTGAGTCAAAGAAGCGGTTGCCCTTGATGATAACTGGGTTTGTTGCGGTGGTAAGGGCTGTAAAAATGGCTTGCAGACCACCAATGAGTAATAAAGCTCTCGGAAACATGGCCGTGGAGTGATATATTTGTGATCGTAGTGCGGCCGCTGAAGATGTTTGTAAAATGCGGAGCCTAATCCTGCAAAGGGAGGGAGGAGCCCCCCCCCTCGGAGGGGGGGGGCATGGGAAGGCAAAGGCGGTCGCAACTTTGAAAGGGCTTAGAAAGAATCCACGTCCCATTTTCTCGGGGTAACGACGTTGTGATGGGATCAGGATCCCGAGGATCAAGAGGACTCTTGATACTATTCGAAAACTGACAAGAATTAGGATAGTGGTAAAACCTGCCAGCGCTTTCCGAACATCCAAATATCTTCTTAGCTACGAAAGCCGTGGTGATTCTGCTATTCGCATGGTGGGCAATATACCGCCATGGTCCATTGAAGAAAAATCCGCTCTATTTAGGATTTATTGTACAGGTGTCAACCTTCACCACGAATTTCTTCTTCACCTAACAGCTACCTGTGACAGCATGCTAAATTATTTTCTAAGGAGGGGCGACTAAAAGGCAGACAGTATAAATATTTTATTAGTATCTATTTTACAAATTTTACTTTTAATATATAAGAATATTGAGCTAGTTAAAATACTCTCATTATGTATTGCAGCTTCAATTACGCAAAAAAAAAAACAAATTATGTGCACACCTTACTTTTGTAGATTTTTTTCTTGTGTGGAGCGATTTCGAATTCAGAATTCTGTCGTGTTGCCAAAAGATGCACGGCTATCGGGGTCTGAAACTAACAATCGTCGCCCAATAGACATACTCAACTCAAGTAAACTCAGCATTTTGGTCCTATCGGTAGGACAAAATGGTCGATTTGATACGATATTAGGGACCTTTTTTAAGCTGCTACTACGACCACGTGGACCAAGGAGGGCTCCAGAATGACACATACGCGGATAGAACGAAGACAAACCTTTATAAATATTGTAATACAAGCTCGGTTTTCGTGGCAGTATTGCTTAGCGAGTGCAGCGAAGATTTTGTCCACTTGCTCGTCCAACGGATGTGCCGACTGGGACTAAGCATCGAGAGATTATATAGCTAAACAAATTTATGACGGGTACATGTCTAATAAAATAAACGCACGTTAGCGTGTATAAAGAGCTTTAAGAAAAATCTCGTTCCAGCTGTACCAGGTTGGGCGTTGCGACGATTGGACGGATGACTAGCAGATTGAACATTGAAGTACAGGAAACATGCAGCTGGGCTGCCGTAGCTTTAGCGTCAGAGGAAGACGTTCGACTCAAAGAGTCCTTAATACAAATTCAATCATCCCAAGGAGCTGTAGCACAGCCCTAAAGCCAGGGCTCAAAGGTTATTAGCTCGAAAAAACGTTTTTTTTTTAATCCGAAGTGTTTATTTAACTTTTATTGCGGCCAAGCCGCCTTGGGGTAAATGTATCTGTTTAACTATCTAGTATTGTTAAATTTAATTAATGCATAAACATGTGGGTTTTCACCAACGTTCTGAAAGATATTGCTAACTCTCCAACCTATGTATTGAGAGTTTGTTAACTGTTCGGGTACTTCGTACCGTGTGTGTCCCGCACCGTGTAACCCCATTACACTCTCCCCCATTAATACGATAGCGTTCTCGTTTTCTAAACTTCCTCAGCGAGGTCGCGCCTTGCCAGTGCGTCGGGGGTTGCTGCCTGAGCTCCGCTACTCTGTGAACCCGCAAACACATTCGCATTGTTAATGCCTAGCTTATCAACCGGGGACCACGACCCAGCCACACCAAAGCGCAGCACTCCAAGATCTCAAGTGGTCCTAGACCGTCCCGCACGCGCCGCGACTACCTCAGGAGCTTGCTAAAACCGACCAGAGCTACGCTCTTGACTCATTACAATCGCGGACAATAGCTCAGCGGTGGAGCACTCGTTTCACATGCGAGAGGTCAATGGCTCAATCCCACAAGGACACCGCCCTCTCGTTCCACGAGCTATTGTTCAAGCTTCGACAAGCTTAAGAGCATTGCCCTTTTAGCTCTGTTGTCGAGCGCTCGCTTCGCAAGCGAGGGGTCAGTGGATCGATCCCACTCGGGCGCAACAATATCCTCGTTGTCCACCGAATTCAACATTCCAATGTCCACCACTCCGACCGCTTCGGCCTCACGCTCGCGATAATAGCGCTTCTGCTTCCTAGCAGATGTAGTTTCATGACTCACCAAAGCTCCACTAGGGGCGGGGTGCGTGGTACCAAACAACGTTCTACGCTATCGAAGTCCGCCAACTCCACACCAAGGTCAACTGAGACATTCAACATCGTCACAAGTGTCCCCATCGCGAGAGGGAGAGAGATGGTATTTCCTGTTTGCACATTTAGTGCCTTTGCATATATCTGACTCCCTTCCAGGGTGGAGTGACGGGCGTACTTGCCTGAGGCTCCCGAGTCAATCAAGACCCTCTACGGCTTCGCGAAGCCTTTCACATTCGCTTGGACGACCAGCAAGCATGGGTTGCCCACACGCTTCTCGCAAGAGAGCCCATCTCTCTTCGGGCTGAGCCCTGTTGCCCTCTACCTCCTCGAGGCACAACAGAACTCATTATTTCCCCAGTAGGCCGCCCCTACTGGGAGTTGCCGTTTCTTGGCGAAAACCCGCAAAGCTGGATCGCCGGAGCCTCGCGCTTATTGCGCGATGGGCAGTAAGCACGCAAATGCTTGGTGCTTCTGCACACAAACCATCGTCGGATGCCGGCGCGCTGCTCCGGAGCAGTAAACTCCGCTTCTTCATCTTCAGCATAGCTGAGATCCATCGGCTCCGGACCGCTCGAAGAGCCCGCACTACCATCGTACCAGCCCGATCGGGCCGCCTTAAAGCTGTGTTCGGCATTCAATGCCGCGCCCACCGCCTCTTCAAAAGAGGTAGGGTGTACACGAAACACTTCTGTTCGGGCAACGCCCACGCGGAGCCCTTCCGTGAAGACAGTCACTGTGACCAACTCCGGTAGAAGGTCCACCGCCATTCTGGCGATCAGCGCTCTCAACACTTGGCCAGAGCCCATCAACTCCTTCTTGCCCTGTCGGGTGGCAAGAAACTTCGACAGAACATGGTTTGCCTGGCTAGGAGGCGCAAACACGCGCGACAACCGTTGCTCCAGCGGCGTCCAAGTGGGAAACGCTGCGTCCACAGACGTATCGCACGTTAGTGCCCACTCGCTAGCGCGACCTTCAAGCTAAGAAATAAAAAATCCACGCATTGCTGCTCAGACTGAGGCAAGGCCGATCCCATGGCCATCTCGAACGCTTGGGCCCAGAGAAGATATTTCTCTTCATCTTTCCTTCGAAGCTCTTCACGCTCAGTAAGAGCGGCTTATGTCTCGCCGACTCGTGACGCGTGACCGATTTTGCCGCCGCTGCGGCGCACATCTTTTCTTGAGCATGCTCCTAGAGCACGATATATTGGGAAAGTGACTCCAGCCGAGCGGTCACCGCTTCTGGACCTTGCGACCCAAGTGAGCCACGCCCTCCAAGCCAAGCAAGGACATGTTAAGCGCGATCTGCTGCGCCGGGGGCAAATTCGTAAACACCAGGTGCTCCATCCTCGCAGAGATTACAGTCAACCGACTCAGGAGCGAGATTGACAACAAGTCCTACCAAGTGCAGCGGGGCTGCCGTAGCTTTAGCATCAGAGGAAGATGCTCGACTCAAAGAGCCCCTAATACAAAGTTCATTATTTTAAGGAGCTGGAGCACAGCCCTAAGGCCAGAGCGCAAGAGTCATTAGCTCGAAATAACTCTTCTGCTTCAAAATCCGAAGTTTTTTTTTGCGGCCAGGCTGCCTTGGGGTAAATGTTTCTGTTTAACTATCTAGTATTGCTAAATTAAATCAAATGCATAACATGTGGCTTTCCGCCAACGTATTGAGAGACATTGTTAGCTCTCCATCTTTTGTACGGAGCGTTTGCTAGCCCTCCGGGTACTCAGTACCCAGTGTATGCCACACCTTGGTGCTGGCGCACTCCATGAGTGTCTGGTAGCTTTGGACCCAGGTGGTGGACAAGTAATCTCTTCAATGGCAGGCGACAAAACGAACGAAAGTACCATGAGGCCGGGCCAAACGTCGCTGACGTGCGCCGTGAACCAGCCGGTAGCTGATGAAGACCAGGATACGAAAGATGGTGCGGAGCCCGGGTGCACTCACTTTGGATTTTGCGTCGCGGGGCACTAGGGACCTCTGGTCTTTCGTGGCTGAGCGCGACCACTGACAAACGAATAAGCGTCACAGACCCGCCGTTCGGGACTGGGACAATAGGCGAACGAGGACAGAGGACACTGGCAGCGCTTGCTGTGCCGAAGGTGGGAATTGACACAGAAAGCGAGTGGACAAACGGACGATGAACACGGATAGAGTGTATCGAGCGTGTAGAACGGCGAAGCGAGGCGTGGTGTAGCACAGCGCTGGTTATGCGAGTGAGCCATAGCTGCTCTTTGTCGGATAGGCGCCTGATGCGTCTTGGTCCAAATGGCTAAGTTCAGCGTTGGCCACGTTCTTGGGGTGGAGTCGAGTGACCAGTGAAGTGCATTAGGATGTGAGTGCTAGAAGTTCGGACGTAAACGAAAGAAAATAAAGCAGACAGAGACAGAGACTCAAATTAATAAGTAGGTCTTGCTGCCCTAAGGGCACACCCCGCCGCGGCGATAAGTTGCCGACCATCTTCCTGGGCGAACAAGCCTCGTAGCTGGGTACTAAGAAGC